TTGCGAAAATGACGCGCTTTTCAGACCCAGCGAAGTAACAACTTAGACGGTTATTTGCGTTCATCTGTACATTTCATTACGTTTCGTGCGTCATTTGTGCGTGAGAAACGCGGGGAATGTTCCGATCTGCTTATCATTCTGCGCATGACCTTCCAGTTTATTGCTATCACGTTCATTGCTTCGCCTTTGCGGCAAAGCTGTGACTTTTTTTTGTCTTACAAAAACTGGTTCCTTCTTATTAGCTTCACGCGCGTCCCATACATGTATTTTATTTTACGCACTTCTTTTCCTATGTCACCCATGTTTCTTCTTCATAGCGGCCACCTTTTCTTCTCATTGAGCGTTTTTATCCGCCCTGTTATTATTGTCTTGTTTACGCGACCCATTACGCTGTCGCTGGACCCAGGCCAGGCCTCTCACTTCAGCTCGCGGTAATCGATACATGTTTGTATTCACGGACGTCGGCAATGCGTCATGGAGGGGAAATGTTCGCCGCTAAGAAATGTAGTCCTTCTTGGAAATTAAAATTATCTTCGATGGAGAGACTAACAGACACGCAAGGCCAAAAATGAAGCCCACCGAGTGAGGGTCTTTTTTCCAGGTATCGGAAGAGTGAATTAAATGGCGTGACGTTTTACTCAACTAATACGTCTGCTTTATACAGCAAAAAAGACCACGTTTACAGCTGGTCTTTCCGAATGAAAGTTCATGAGAGTATTGCTAGTAACAACCACCTCAAAGCCTACAAACCTCGAAACCTCATTCGTGAATAGTATGGGTGCGGGGGAAAGGAGGGTGGCAGAGAAGGGTGCAATTGCATCTTAACACCCTTTTTGCTTTTCGTAAATTTTGATATCCCATCTAGCTGAATGGCACAGCCATGTAACACGCTGCTAGAATGAACTATGAATAGATAAACTTTTGATCTTAGCAATTATTGGCGTTGTTAAAGGACAGGTAGTAACCACGGAGCCGAACTATGAGAGTGAAGTAACTAGAAGAATAAGGAGGGTGTGGATCTCATTCGGCAAGCTTTCTCAAATCATGTATGGTATTCTACTACTAACCTTCAATAAGAATGTATAAAACAGCGGCATCTTGCTGGTACTAAGCCACGGAGCAGAAAGCTGGAGCCTTACAAAGAGGGCTCAGCTGAAATTGAGGACGACGCAGAACGCGATGGAAAGTAAAATGATAGGTGTAACCGTAGAGACAAGAAGAGAGCAGAGCAGGTCAGGAAACAAACCGTGGTTAAGGATATCGTAGTTAAGGAGAATAAATGGACCGGGAACGTAGTGCGTAGGGAGGATAACCGCTGATCATTAAGGGTAACTGACTGGATTACCAAAGAAGTCAAACGCGCCAGGGGAAGACAGAAAGTTAGGTGGGCCGATGAGATTAAAATGTTTCCAAGTATACGTGGAACCAGAAGGCACAAGACCTGGTTACGTGGCTATGCCCGCTGCCAGGCACAAGACCTGGCAGTCTGCGTAGCCAAGACGACGACGACGACGACGACAATGATGATTAGTATGATGATGATGATGATGATGATGATGATTAGAAACATAGATCCTGTGATTTCCAATGCGCCGGTGTGACCCTTGAATGACCCTTGAAGTATGAGGCGTTCAGTATTTAAACGACCAAGTTATATTGCGGAGTCGATATGCAATTGGTCTTGGGACAAAATTTCCCAATCGACTTGCAAGTCACGTTCAACTCTCTGAATTGTAAAATGCCGTTGTCCATAACAGTAATGTTTTGCAAATCACAGAGCATTGGCCTTCTACTGTGCGATATAATAAATAAACTTCTTTTAAAATCAATCCATCAGTTTTCTTCAGGGGAGGTCGGAGGAAGAAGGACCTTGACCCCTGTGCCGTCCCAGCCGCCTAAAGCGATGAGCACGCGCAATACGTATACACGCAGCAAAGTGCTTGAAGTCTTGAGAGAGTGTCTGCGCAGTTACGTGACTGTCCTTCAGTGGTCATTGGCTATTGCACGGTGGTTGCTGACCAGACTCGGCTATCTTTACGGCCACGCGCGCTCGCAATCGGCAGGCAGTGGTCACGCATCGTGTATACAACATGCTGAGTCGTTACGGAGTAGTGCGGTCACAAAATGATAACGTGGCACCTTTACGACTGAGGAGAAATTGTGCCACCCGGACTCAGGTTTTTCATTTCCTGAACTAAACAATGTTCGATTATTTAACATTGCTGTTCTATAATAGACAGCATGACACACACACACACACATATATATATATATATATATATATATATATATATATATATATATATATATATATATATATATATATATATATATATATATATATATATATACTCGAGCTGCGGAAGCGCTAATTCACTACGGCGGTTCAGCAAAAAAAGAGAAAAAAAACTTCAAGAAAAGAAAGACATCGCTAACTTACACAAAAAATACTTAACTATATAGTGCAAACTATGGACTATGATTAACGCGTCCTATGCTTGACCAACTGAGCTACAGTGGAGGTATCATCTCCTCCGCCCATTTTATGGGATGTGTATGTGCATTCGGGCGTATATTCTGGCCGACTGGATGCTGGAAGATATTATGCGAGAGATTATTGGTCAGCAGCCAGCTAGTCAAAAAAAAGCGTGTTTCGTGACGCAAGCAAGAAGAATAGGACTCTTCAAACTCGTCATCATGGGTACTGGCGGCGCTCACTAACACACCCAGGTTTAAATGCACATACGTACTTTGCAACGTGGACGGGCGATGATCGCCTCTGTAGCTCGGATGCGTCGTTGGACGCGTTATTCGAAAGTAACAGGTGCGATTCTTGCCAACGCTAAGGTGTTGTTTCGTGCCCTTTATTTTCTTCACGCTTAGGTCATAGTTACTATAAACAACATTACCCATACTTTCCTCTGCTTTTTTTATAGTTCTGGTGGTTCTTGTATTTAATTTAAGGTCATCATTCTAAATTTGACAGATGAGCTGGCCAGCTACTTAGCTCGTTCCTTTAGGCATCGAGCCATGAAACTTAAACAATACATCACGGCAATTTCATCACACTAATTGAATGCTGGTAAAACTAATGCTGTTTTACAAGGAAGAAATGAAACTATAGAAAATGACCGAGAAGAAAGTAAAACAACGCAGCTTGACATGGCTCGCAGCCATCTCTGTCAACCACCCCTCGTCTAGAAAAATATTTTTTTAAGTGAAGTTCATACACATGGCATCACGGTGGAAAATCATGCATACCTGTCTTCCCTGTGAAACTTCACAGCTGAAGCCACACCAAATTTATCCGTTATGGGTACCTATATTTCTCTTGTCTCTAGAAATCTACACCAACATAACACTACTGTGGGACAAGCTCAAGGAGATTAATTAATTGATTGATTGATTGATTGATTGATTGATTGATTGATTGATTGATTGATTGATTGATTGATTGATTTGTGTGTTTTAACGTCCCAAAACCACCATATGATTATGAGAGACGCCGTAGTGGAGGGCTCCGGAAATTTCGACCACCTGGGGTTCTTTAACGTGCACCCAAATCTGAGTACACGGGCCTACAACATTTCCGCCTCCTTCGGAAATGCAGCCGCCACAGCCGGGATTCGATCCCGCGACCTGCGGGTCAGCAGCCGAGTACCTTAGCCACTAGACCACAGTGGCGGGGTGAAGCTCAAGGAGAGAGGTTTCTGTATATTCATTCACTTCAAAATGTAACGCATATCAACATCCAGGTAGGACCATGCCAGTGCATTCATGGCCAATTCGCACTTCCGCTTGCGAAAATTACCGGAGGGTGGATTGGGAATGGATCCCCCACGTTTGAGTGAAACAGGCTATGGGGGGGCGGCCACATCAGACTAGGACCAGCTGCCTGTCTTCAGAGTCGGGGATACCGTTCTTCATGGTTGTAGGAGCAGACCGGTAAGCAAGAAAGTTGTGGGGAGAGTCGAGGCGATCAAGTGCCATCTTTCACATAAAACATGAAATAACCAGAGCAACCACCGTACTTTCTGGGTCGCAGTGCTTGCACAAAACATAAAGCACCGCCGCCCCTAGCACAACCTGGTCCGCAAGAGGGCCGTTTACGTTTAGGTTTGTTGTACACTGCGTGTACGCACCCTGCATCCTTGTCAAAATGAAGTCAGAGTGATTACTGGGGTTTCTGCATGTTCTAACCATATTAGAGCACACAATATGAAAAACGAGTGGTCAAAATCAGAATTCTCACGTTTTCACTGCAACACTTCAGGAAGAACTTCGTTACATCAGATTTGGGGCCTAGTTAGTTCGATTGCGTCAATTTCATGACAACATTAAACCCTATGGCCACTTGGCGGGACATGTAAACTTCTTCATTATATCGGAAAAGTTGTAAAAACTGGTTTCGTCAAATTGAGTTTTAGCTGTACTTTCTGAAGCATCGTACTTAGAGTGTGTGTGTGTGTGTGTGTGTGTGTGTGTGTGTGTGTGTGTGTGTGTGTGTGTGTGTGTGTGTGTGTGTGTGTGTGTGTGTGTGTGTGTGTGTGTGTGTGTGTGTGTGTGTGTGTGTGTGTGTGTACCATGCTATTTTTTGCCATTCCAGTATACACACCTGGCAATCTTTCATATCAACATTATCTTTTCCTTTGTTATTCATCGTGCTGACAGTAGGCCATATATTTGTGACAAAACTTCTTTGTTTTCATATTCAATAAGACTTACTAAGGGATCATTGAGAACAATTCTAGCTTTTTTCTTTGTCTCTCCTGCCTCTGACACGCGCTTGTGGAGCATGCTGAGTTGAATAGGTGGTTCCTGTTGAAAACGAGATAAACATCCCCATGGCTGTTCAGTTTATGACCAAATATCCGTCTCGACAAGGAGGGCAGATGGAAGCAGACAGCAAGGAACCCCAATGACCTGCGGTGGCACGTTGCTGACACCATCATTGCTAATCTCACTACTCCTCCCTGTAGGCGAGAGATAGCGGGGGCCTAGTTTGTTCCCTTGTCTCCAGGCACAGCTGCGCAGATGCGTATCGGTCTTTCGCTAGTAGACTACTGGTCACGAAGCACCATAAGCTCAAGAGTATTCGCAAGATGTACTCTCCACTGAAAAGCTGCATGGATGCGACTGCTCCGGCGTTTGACGCTCGAAGGAACTTTGGGGAGTACATGGTGCAGCATCTGAGGCGCCATGCCGGATCTAAATTGGTGAGAAATTGGTTATCATAGGAAAATTTATACGCGAAACATGCAGTGCGTTGCTGAGACATACATGCCAGTTATGCGCCTTGCTACTTTAGCTTAAGGAGTGATAACATCTGATGTAGTCATAACATCTGAAAATTTCAATGCGAACATTTAATATCGTGGGCAAATAAATTTAGGTGGTCAGACATAACTGCAGACGTACTATTTCTAAATCATTTCACCAATTAGTGTGGTGTGGCTGCGCTATTGTCGTTAATGTCGGCCTAGTTTGATTGTTGTGAAATCCTTACTAGATACATCTGACTTCCTTCCAAATATTGCATTCAAGTCATACATCTTAAAAGTTGCTAATTTTGTTGTTTTTTTCGCTTTTTTGTATTTCAACTTACCATAGTGCATACATGGGCACGCATGCCTTTATGTCATATACGTCTATTCGTATTCGCACCAAGGAGGTTTAAAAAAAAAATGCTGGAGTGGAAACTAGCGCAATGCTTTTCCAGCAGCAGTGAAGCCAGCGTTTGCCCTCCAATGATCTCAGAACCATGCTATTATCTGATGATGCCCACTTAGACGTTAAGTGGATTCGATTTGCTAGTCTAAAGGCTACGTTAATTATAAATTAAAAGACAGTTGTTTTTGACGAAATAATGCGCAGACTAGTATCAGTGACTTAATCTGCAATAAAATTTGCATAGAATTCAAGGCTTAGAAAAGAAAACTAGAAACACAAGGAGGCATTATGAGCATTATGTGACCCGAGAAGGTTGCCACGTTAAACTCGTTGGGCGTGCGAAGAAAACCCTCCTTCTCAACCTCCAAATGCCCACAGCCACCATCTCACGGTTGGCACGGCTTCACTTGTGGGCAAAAATTTCCACTCCAGCAATTTTTTTAAACCTCCTTGGTTCACAAAAGAACTTCAAGCTGGGGCGACAGTTTTGTGCCGCAATGATAGCATAACGCTGTATCAATTACCTAATTAAAATGATTTAATTACCTCTTTGAATATTGACCTGAGAACAAGTGTTTATATAAAAAGTTGCAGTGCGTGCCAATTCGTAACATATTTATATTTATATAAATAGCAATTGGTGCACTAGTTTAAGGTACTTGTCAGAGAATATGGTGGGCGAAATCGAAACAAATCGCGCAAGGCACTCATGAAGCGCAACTGTTCTACTACGTCCCTCTGGAATTAACCCTCACATGGGAGTGAAAAAATTTGAATGATGACTTGCCACAGCCATACGTTTTCGTGAAAAGCGACAAGTAATCTCAATTGTGCCAGTACATTGCCTTATTTTTGCTCGTTGTGTTTCGTGCTTATGAACATTTTTTGTAAACAATGTAAATTAACTTCACCAAGCACACTCCGTAGTCAATCTTATCTACCGCTCTTAGTGACTCAAGAGAAGGCCGAGCTGGGTTAGCCAATGTAAATTGGAAACCTCCAGTCTTAAACACAATGAGGAATAAAAGCTGTATAAACTGTATACTATTGCGCTACAAACAGTCTAGGCGACGCTTCGATACGTAAACCTACCTTTCTTCAAAGGAAGCTTTCTCATATTCTGCCGGTTATTTTTCAAGAATATCGGGCAACATCATATGTCGCTGTCAGCGGCAGATAAGAATGGGCGAGAGAATGAGAAAGAAGTTGACAGGCAATGCGGCCAGGATTACGGGTCTTCACCCCTGCCACGAGCTAATCCAACAAGCACTCGATACGGGAGGAGAGATAATGTGAAATAGTTTTGCATAGATGAAAGACCTCGTGCTGGCACTTTTAAGATAACCACGTTTATCGACTGCTCTACTATTACAGTGAAGGAGCGAGTCACACGCATATGCAAAACTATGTTTTTGGAGCCTTATCTGTGAGCGCGTCTGATAAGTTATAATTATGAACCCAGCGAGCCTTGGGAAGACGTTGACTTTATATCGTTGCTTGCTTTTTTTTACCTAGACATTTGGTTCAATGAACACATTTCACTTGGTGGGTGTTGGTACAATGGCCATGCCAGAACGCTTTAGAAGGGTGCTTTGGGCGTGGGACAGTCTTTTGCGATAATGTAAATTCGGTGCGAACATAGGGTGACAAGCTGTTGCAAATTCAGAGTTATTCAGAGGTACACTCTGGCCCTCTAATACTGGCAGGACGCTGCAAAATAAATAACTGAAGACGCGCATATAGCACAGCCACGTTCCACGCATAAAAATTTTCTATTTGGTCACTCTTTTCTCCATACAGATAAACGGCACGAGCCACAAAGCCATCACCTATAGCATCGTAGCAGAGCAGGTGGGTGCCGTGCGGGCAGCACTCTGCCGATTGGGCCTCAACGCAGGAGACAAGATCCTGCTTCTCAGCGCCAATCGGATGCAACTGCTGCCGATGCTTTTAGGTGCAGCGTGTGCGAACGTGGCATGCGTCAGTGAAAGTCCGGGCTTCAGTGCCGGTGTGTATGCAAATCAGTATTGCTGTCTGTCCAACTCAAACCGCATAGAAAACCTGTGGAAGAATTTCGAAAAAAACCCCTTTTCTATGAGTAATGTAAATAGCCTACCTCTGTATTACGGAGATGGTTGCTAACGTAGCATTACCTATATACCATACTTACTAGAGGAAACTACAGCGGTGCGGTTATTGATCTACCAGGGGAAGGATGCCTTGTACATGGGCTTGCCTAGTTTCCACGTTTGTGGCCATGAATGCACTTGTGACTTTATTTAATGCTGTTTTTTTTGTTTAGGATCAAAGAATGACCCGTAGCTTATTTGAATAGGCAAGCTCAAAAGGATCAAGGCGATGAAGTGGGACTGCTGAACTCTCACTGAACTTCGACTCGCGAGAAATCAACTGCAGTCCACAGGGAACTATACGGAGCCGAAAGTACGAAACTTAGATCAATCCGTGTTCTACCCATCGTTCCCATGCTGACTGAACCGTCATTTGTTGCAGCTTTCATAGCACCAGATTTCCTTCCAGCGTAGTGTTATGAAACTCTGTGGTTGCTAAGACTCAGTATAAGTGTCCCACGAGGCTCACCTTTAACCTTGCCTGAAGCTGCACTGTACTCGATCGTCTGCCGCACTCTTTATGATATTTGCCAAGCCAAAGTACGTGTTATTCTGACTCATAACGCAAAGAATGTCGTTGCTTACGTTCACGTGCTTTCTTTTTTGACGCAAGACTACACTAAAAACAAGTGGTAGAAACGGGCCCCCGTTAACCGAAAACACGTGTTCCATTGCTTATCGTACGTCCTCATTCCACGTGCCATCCTTGTTTTGCTGTGCTAAAAGCTTACGACCAGGTCATTTGTTCCACGGCCAGAGAGTGGTTCAGGGGCCATGTTGCCAGTGATATGAAGGAAAGCGGCCTCAAGCTGACCGATTTAAAGAGTGGAGTTTGTATGGTCGTTGTTTCGTCGTGTGTCGCACGTAAAAAATTATCCTCATCTTTACCAGCGCTTGTTTTCTTCATACTCTACGTTATCGCCTTCATCATCCTCTGTCACTTCGCTCCGAGAACACGTGTTTGGTTAGAGACGCAATAAATCTCATGGGAGAAAGAGAGAAAGAAAACGAAAGAAAGAAAGGAAGTGTGAGATGAAAATTCTTGACCTATAGAATTTCTCGGTGAGGCTGGATAATTCAGCATGGTGGAATTCATAGCCATGTCCGCACAATACCAGGACGAACATCGTAAGTACTCGGTGATTCACGCATGCTAGCTGAGCATGGCATAGCCTTGTACAGTATTGCATAGCATAGGGGGTGGGATTGGGAAGTTAGTGTGAGGAGTACAAATGTAAACGTGAGGAGGAGGAAAACGAGAAGGGGAGAACGAGATCAAATGATAAATCTAGAAAACAAAGAATGAAGCAAGCATAAATAAAATAGCTAAAAGCACATTAACACGAAAAATACGCACAAATATAGACAGCAAGCATATTCATGCCCTGTATAGTATAGCGAGGGATAGTAAAGGAAGGTGTGAGAGTGCAAAAGCCAATCCAGAAGTATACGTGCCCATCAGCTCTGTTGGAACCCAGCCTTGTGCAGCACCACCGTGGTGGTCTCGTTGGCTAAGGTACTCGGCTGCTGACCCGCAGGTTGCGGGATCGAATCCCGGCTGCGGCGGCTGCATTTCCGATGGAGGCGGAAATGTCGTAGGCGCGTGTGCTCAGATTTGGGTGCACGTTAAAGAACCCCAGGTGGTCGCAATTTCCGGAGCCCTCCAGTACGGCGTCTCTCATAATAATATGGTGGTTTTAGGACGTTCAACTCCACATATCAATCAATCAGCCTTGTGCATCTTTGCGCAAGCTGCACTGGCTTAATTAAACTGTTTTATTTTACATTCCCACTTCTAGGGCCAGTGTTAGCGTCTGTACAAAAAGGGTGACCCCAAATGGCACAAGGTGATTCAGACGATGACTTTCCAAATGCCGTTCTACTGGATCCCCTGCTCAATTGTGCACTTGTGACGCGGACAAAAACGTGCATGCGCACAGTGTTGCTATTCTTCGGTCTTTTCGTCCAACGGTACATTCAAGCTGCGTAACAAATGGTGTACCCCGTCGCAGATGTCGTGGCTGACGCGATGCAAACTCTGTCCCTGGCATGCGTCTGTTGTGAGCCGGACCGGATTGACGAGGCCCTTGAAATAAAGCAAAGATTACCTTCTATTAAGGTAAGTACTAAACGCTCTCTGGCCGAGTTTGTCATTTTCCACCTCTGCCTCGAATTACTGTTTCGGATTGAAACACTGTAATATAGAGTGAGAAGGTGCCTGCAAACGAGGCAGAGGCTGGGGGTCAAGCCAAAACTGGAACCTCTAGTTTTATACTTGACACAAGAAGGAAAACCAAGGACCAGATAGTGGCAAAGAAAATCAAGGACCAAAAACACCAGTAATGATATTGTAAGATATTTAGTGCAACCTCGACTTTCACAAACACTCACACAATCACCCACACAACCACTCGAGTAACACACACAGCATACTCGGGTGGTTGTGTGGGTGGTTGTGTGAGTGATTGTGTGAGTGTTTGCGAAAGTCGAGGTTGCGCTAAATATCTTACAAAATGTCGAAGAACCAACTAGCCCAAAGACAAGTTTTATTGAGAAGTAATGAAGGCAGCTTCACACTGTAGATGTGCCACGCACGGAGGATTGGTGGAGCTAGGCAGCCTTTATTTTTTTTTTCGGTTTTCTCCTTATTTTCTGTTTTCTTTATTTTTATTTTTCCCTATTTTGTCTGTTTTATCCCTCTTTTTATTACTATTTATTTCTACATTTGTTCCCAATTTTCTTCCTTTCTCTCTCTCTTTACACTTCTCAATTACATACTTTTTTCTCTTTTTATGCGTGGTTTTGTCTTTGTTACATCAAGCGACGACAACATATGATATCCCGTGTCTCTAAAATGCTCTTCCCTTGTAAGATCTTCAGTGCACTCGACCAACAGTATAGGAAGAAGTCTCCTTCTCTGCGCGAGCACGTTAATACGCTACAAATCTCTATGCTATGCGTGGTTCTATGAGCGTTACGCGAAGCGATGACAGCAAGTGACAGCGCGGGCCCGTAAAGGGCTTTGCACTTAAGATTCCGGAGAACATAAGGCTCCACCTCCACAAGGAGAGGAGGAGTGAATTGATCCGTTCCGTTCAGGGGCGTAGCCAGGGGGTAGAACACCGAACACGTCCCCCTCCCAAATTTTTTCGCCATGGCATAGGGAGCGAAAAATGGCCATTTTAAGGAGATGCCCCTCCCGATATCAAGGTGGTGCCCCCCCGCCCTCCGAAAAAAATTTCTGGCTACGCACCTGGTGCCGTTTACAACAAAAGCCAAACTTTCACTTTCAGTCACCCTATCAATGATTTAGTGAATAAGAACAATGAAGTCCTCAAAGAATAACTCGTTCATCTTAAGAAATTATAGCTGTAAGTCGATCATAGGGTCGCTAAATGCGAGAATATTATTACGTATGTTGGTGAGTAATCCTCGCACTATACAAAAAGCAACACTTTTTTGCCGCGAAAAGACACTCGATGATGACAGAAAACACGTAAACATAGAATTCATGTGGCGACGAAGTTTGTAAAGCTAGCGCGCCAATCCCCGTGATATGATAAATTTTAAAGGCGTATGCTAGGGCATGGTGAATTCTTTACTGTTAGAGTGAAATCCTGTGCGTTTTAGATCAATGAACATAACATAGCAAGCTTCAAGATATTTTTTAAGCTAACGTGGCCAAATTACAAAAAAACTTACTGAAATCTGTGTCGTTACATTGATATTAAGATGTCTTGATTCTGACTTGAATTAAAAAGATTAATTTAGACATTAAGTTCTTTCTTCAATAATAAACCAACGATAACAAAAATAACAAAGATAGTTCTCGCAAAGACCAATTTGTAAGCCTCAACAGTTTAGTGTTTCCTTCTTCAGGCTTTTTGAGCACACGCGATTGGAAAATATTCTCTATCTTGACTTCAATATAATTCTCAGCATCATCTTCATTTCAATAGCCAACGTAAAAAAAGCTGCACTCATTTCAAAGGAAAATAACTTCTAACCCTTACAGTGAGCATCGGGTGGCCACAACTTCCAACCATCGCTTTTTTAAATGTGAAGCACTTTAGAGGGACAAGTTATTGTATGTTGTGCTGTGCTGTCGTATGTTGTCGTCGTCACTTGACGTAACGCTTCATGCAGGCAGGTATAGCTAGGGGGGGGGGGGGGGGGGCAGTGGTGTCACTCTCCTCTTCCTCCGACATCCGTACAGTCAGCCATATTACCGGACAAGTTTTTTTGGTAATGAAAAGAATTTCTTTCGAACAATTCAATCCCCCCCCCCCCCAAAAAAAAAAAAGGATCTGGGTGGCTCCATGTTTAGCATACTGAGTGCGCGCTCGAGCCCAGAAGTCTTGTTCTTGTTCTTCGAGCACCTTAATGTCCGTCGCTTATCATCAGCAGCAAAAAAAAATACTAGCATACTTAAATAATGGCATAACGCAAGAAAAACCACGCATATAAAGAGTAAAAAAAGAGGCAAGCGTGAAACGGAGAGAGAAAAGGGAAAACAAGGTTGATCTCTCCGTCATAAGAATGAAGAAATCATGAAAGTAAGATGTGTTCTTACAGAAGTAGCTTCATGTTTACTTTACATTGATGTAAAAGAGCTTGCGCAATGCCTACTGATACTTGACAGTCATAGCACCGCTTAATGTCGATGCACTTACGTAGACGGTAAGTCATACATTTCCATCCCGATGACTGAAGTCCATCGTTAATGATTAAACAAACTCTTGTGGTCAGAGATGCCTGTGATAGCTGCAGTAGTTTACGGTGAGAGCAGAATTGGAGAAATCGATGTGAGAGCCAGAAGAGCGTCACTGACTGGGCGCCAAACTTGAGCTAAGGTCGCCTACTCACGGCATGTTGGCGTCAATGAATACCACTGCCCGACCAGCGGCAAACGCAGCACACGTCGTGTTTTCGCTTTGGCAAGCCGTGATATTTCGCGGGACGAGTGTAAGTGAAAAACGTGGAGTTACAGACAAACAACGCAGGGCTTTATTGAGCGCGAAGCCCCTTAGGGTGCCGTTCCCTCGCAAATGTTGTAACCACTTCTAGTTAGTTTTAAATATTTCTCACTAGATGGCGTTGAGTGTATGTCTTCGGAAATATTATCACTAGATGGCGTTAGTGGTTTTTGTTTAGTTGATGATCAAAGAAGATAGATGGCGCCGTTATAATAAAAAAATTGCAGCATATACACGATCTAATGATGATGAGTAGGGCAAGGCGTCCATCCATCAGTTCGTCCGTCTGCCTATACATACGTACATACGTACATACATACATACATACATACATACATACATACATACATACATACATACATACATACATACATACATACATACATACATACATACATACATACATACATACATACATACATACATACATACATACATACATACATACATACATACATACATACATACATACATACGGATGGACGGACGGATGGATGGATGGATGTATGGATGAATGGGCACTTTGCCCCACTTATCATCATTCACTCCATGGAAATGCTGTGATTTTTTTCGGTATGAATGCATGTTGAGGATATTACTGTACTTATAAGCGACGCCAGCGCTTGGGGTAAGGTCACTACCTGCGGTTAAGGCGTTTACAAAATTGTACATCTATAGGGAAGGCCCACACGGGACGGACGCTTAAAAACGACGCGGAGGCAATGGATTCAATTTCCGTTAACGGAACTTTTTTTCCTTTGTATTCTGATCGTGCTTATTTTTAGAGGTCATTTCCGTGACGGAAATATGGTACTGAAGTCTTGGTGGGAGCCCGGCATCAAACTTGGTGGACCCCGGCATAATACTCCGGTGTTAAACTAGGAAGAAAAATAAAAAGAGCAAGAAAGAAAGAAAAAGAAGTGACGCGAGCGGAAGAAATAAATAGAAATAGAGAGAGAGAGGCATACAGCAATGGGAAAAATTAAATACAGGATGAAACAGAAATAAAACCAAAATGAAGTAAAAAAAATGGCTGCCTAGCTCGGCACTTCTTTAAGGTTTTGCACCTTGTGTGCGAAACTGCCTTATTTCTTTAGTTTTCTATTTTCTGAGAATTTTTCGCACTGCTACTTCAGCGGCATAAAAGCGTGCCTAGAGTAACATTGCGATAAAAGGAAAATTTAAAAGATTACGTGTAACAATCGATTCAAAACTCGGAAATAAAAAAAATGACCAAGTATTGTACTCAGAGAAGGCAACATCGTTTTGGCGAGAAGCACGGGTGATTACGAACGTCGCCGCCCCTAATATTACAAATTTAGTTGAACAGGACGTTGTCTTAATCAAGTGTAAAGAATGCTTATCAGAATATTTAGACCATTAGAATTTACACTTCACTACACATTCGTGACTACACTGCCTATTTATCTCTAAAATATAATCTTATAACGCAGTCGTATTAATATTACGAAACAATTTATTGAATGACACTATGCACGATGCACTCACACAGCATGCAGGAGAAAACACATATTTAAAGCTAAATCCTTACAACTTCTTGTTGATGACAGCCTGTTTTCACTCAAGGAGAGATTGTGGGCACTTATCTCAGACTGGACAGGTCGTAAAAGCCGGCAATATGGAAATATTCACATGCTACGCCAAGGTGTGTTGCAAGCACTCATTCTCTTCACGCGTAAAATATTGTGCAACGGGCGACCAAGAGATAAGCGGCCTTTTAGCTGTCACAACAACGTAGCTTCCGCATTACGTTTGTGGAGTAAGATGCACTGTGAATGCTGAAGATAGCATCAGAAATAGTTAATGGAGCCAGCCACGTATACATATGCCAGCTCCATTTGAATGGATTGACCTCCAAATTTACACTACATACATGGGACTCTATAGGCAACCGTACCATTCCGTTCTCAGATAGAACACGAGCGATATCAATAAAGGCCAGCTTGTTACCACGTATAAAATTAATAAAAACGGTGTTGAATTGTACCATTCAACTCAACGAATCAATCAATCAATCATAATTTCCTGTTAGCCGTAGTCTTTAAGTGCACAAATACACTATAGCACCTGTGTTCGTTATAAAAGTCTCAATGACTACTATATGTGTTCGCGAACCAGTAAAAATAGAAGTCACGATTGACGTTAATCCGCAACAATAACGTTAATATTGGACGTTTTACACGGTATAACCGGCGCAGTTTGCGTGATTGCAGTATCAAACGGTTTCGTTCCATGACGACGAAGTCGCATTCTCAGAAATTCCAATCGCATTCTTCTGACTTTATTGCTTCATCTCGCATGCATTTTAATGCGTGCAATGGATATGTACGTATACTGGACCGGCATTTTGTAACAGCTTTCATAAAAATAATTCCCAGTTTTTCAGTTTTTAAAGAACATTTTTTTTCGTACTGAAAAGGCTTCTATTAAGATAATATTTTCTAAAAAGCCTGAGTTTGAACCCACTTTCTTGCCTCATTTCCCCTCACCAGTGTAGGGTAGCAAACCAGGTGAGGATAACTGGGCAACTTCGCGGCCTTCCGCTTCAATTCTCTCTCTCTCTCTCTCCTTTTTATGTCCAGAATTAGGACAAGCAAATGAAAGCTGTAGCGTTGCTAACATACAAGTTAAATGCGGAGTTTTCTTCAAATTGCGTCACTGTCTGAGCTAAGACTCGTTTTTACCAGCAGAATCTATAATGCTATCTCCCCGTTCAGAGTAGTATCTGAAGTAGCCGGTACAGGGTATTCCGTGAAGGGTATAGTATCTGAAGATACTGCCATGTAGTTATCGCCATATTTCATACATGATCACGCAGAGATCCTCGCATTCACAGGTACCATAGGAAGCACCCTTCTCAATCTCTCTCTCTCTGCTTATTAAATTGCAGTACATCATCGCAATGGACGAACCGAAGAACAAAATAGACGGCGCAGTGGACTGCGTGATCACATGGAACGAGCTGTTGCAGAAGGGCCGCGCACAGAACGGGACAACGTCGCCCCCTGTCGAGTATCGTGAAGACACGATCTGCTACATGACGTCTACAAGCGGCACGACCGGCAGGCCAAAGCTGGTAGTGCATTGCCACGAGTCTCTAGTGGCTCTAATTCAATCAAACAGGTTAGGTTTTTTTCGAAACCGAAGCTAGGCTGTGAAGCTTTACAGGTTTTCGTGAATGTGCCTGCTTCTTCTAGGTCCTGCTACTGCTCCTGCTGTTTTGCGTTTCTGCCTGGAGTGCGATTGGCCTAGCATGGCTAGCAATATTGGGATGGTGTTTTGTGTCTAAAATCTGTCTCGTCATTTAGACTCAGTCAGAAGTGACTTTCAATGTTGTCACTTCCTGTTAACACTTCTAGTTATTGCCTTGCGAAAAAAAATCCTGAGAGACGAGTTAGGTCTCACATGAGCTAGGAACAAACGTGGTATGTTGCAAATCTGAGAATTAGGTGAAATACAAAGACGAGGAGTCGATTCGGTGTATAAGGGCAACAAAAGGATACATTGTATATGCGTTTTTATCATATGCAGGGCACAAGCTGTCTTCTGCCAATCACAAAAGCTGTCTTTTGCCGGTCACACAAAGAAAAAAAAAGTAGTCTTACTAACAGCACCTCACTTTTTTTTATTCCGATAGGAATTATATAGACAGAAAGGGGGGCACAAAATAAAATAAATAAGAAGAAAAAATTACGCAATCTCCCCGAAGGGAATAATGCGTTGATGCAAAGCATAGCGCAGAGTTTCAACGGTGTTCTTAACGGGGTTGTTTACCGGTTTGCGGTGTTACCTTCGCAGTGAACCTTGCGCGTTATTACGTACTTCACTTGGTTTGCTACCACGCATCGCATGACCGTTATGGGAACTCCCACGATGCTCCGCATCACACAATCGTCCCCTTCGGGAAGATGGTGTCATTTTTTAGTTAACGCACTCACTGTGAATCTTTAGATGCGAAGCAGCTCTTTGACACACGTTTGTAACGCCGTACGAACGTGCATCCGTAAGAACGCGCCGTAACGCGTCATCCTCACCGCAAGTGTTGGAGCGGTGGCAACTAGGTAACTCGGCAGCTGCGAGTTAACGTCACTCTCTCCCTCACCTGCAGCACGCTCGCCACACCGCCCACAGCTGCCGGCTCCTCGGCCCGCTCGCAACACCCTTCTCTCTCGTTTCGCCCTCTCCACCATCCGCAACGTTTGACCACACGTCAAGTGAAACACTCTTTCGGCTCGTTTATCGGCGATAAAACTTACAGGAAGCGCAAACCGTCACCCGTGTCTTTGCGTTTCAAACAAACATTCACTCGAGTAAACGCTACTCCAAGTTTCGCTTCAAACCATTTTTCCAGCACCCGCATTGACGCCCGTTTCAACCGAGTTGCGACTCCCGAATACCAACAATTGTCGTGAGTGGCAACATAACTCCTCTCCCCTTCCCACGAAGTCGGCTTCCCAAGAGCCAGTCTCGATTACCTTCATGTAAAAATATGCAATAAGGTGATTTATTAGGTGAAGCACACCACGCGTAATGTGAAATATTGAATTCAATGCGAAAAGCTTTCTTTTCTTTTTGCACCTCAATTACTTGTTTATCCATCATTTCAAAGTTTCGTTAAACTTAACAATTGTCTTACCTCATGTTTTCCATAATATGCAGTGTTCAATTGTAGTGTTCAAATGGGCAGCGTTAAAATATATGTGTTCCATCGCTTACTTTATTCGCAGGGCTGCAACAAACAAACAAACCAAATTTCTAACAATTGAATACGGCTATGCAATCGCCTGTAGTGTCTCGTATGTTTTTCTTTTTCTTTTTCTCACCCAGCATTCTTTATATCATTGTGTTTTGGTGTTTTTGTTGCATGTTTTGTGAAGTACCTTGGCGTGCTTATGTGATTTAACCTTAGGATTACAGTTAAAGCTATTAGTCACTTGAGTCAATCAGGCTGGTCAGAAAGGAAAGCCGTAAAAAACTTGTCATCTACTTTGTTCTTGTTTTTTTTTCCTTCGCTGATGACTACGTATTGTACACAAGGGCAACTGAGGGGAACCTTCACGAAAGGATTGGTGGCAGTCAATGAACGATGCATCAACTCTGAAGCGGTTAGCCTGATTTCGTTGCATGACGCTATGACGACAGCATATACGCTGCATGCGAAGATCAAGCTGAAATTGTGTGACCTTCTCTGTTTCTCATTCCCACATTCCAGTCACCCTATGCACATGGGTCTGGGTCCACAAGACGTGTCCCTTTCTACAACATCGTTGGGTCACGTGTACGCACTGTATGACGGGGTCTGCAAGGCTATCGCCCAGGGAGCGTCGGCCGCCTTTATGGAGACTGCCGAATCGAGCGCAATATTCGAGGCTATCTACAAACACAGAGTAAGTACAATTATATAGGTTGGAACGATGGGATAGATAGACACACAACCACCAGCACAACTCAGTCAGCTAACACTTCGTCCATAGCCTAAGGAACTGAAAAATTGATACGAACACCCTTTTTGCAATTTTAGGGAACGTTTCTAGTAGTTACCAAAACTGAAATTTTCTGCACTCATTCGAGAAGGGTGCCACATATATTATGAAGAATGAAAGAAACCTAATTATAATATTATTTGCTTGTATTTTTGACCGAGTCATGTCATGTCGCCACTCAAATAAAAATTCGGAATGTCCGACAAGCCGTTCAATCACTGGTGTCATAAAATTTCGAGCACAACAAATTGAAAAACATGTGATTTGACACTGCTCTCTCTCTCTCTCTTTTACATATGCACAGTTCTCTTCTGACGTACGCTCCACTTTTCTTGCTTCGTTAACGATTGCTGCACGCTAAATGTTTACTTTTGTAACAGGTCACAGCACTAACCACAACGCCTTACACTGTGAGGTGCCTGCTGGACGACGATCGGCGCCACAGTTATGACCTGCAGAGTCTTCAGTACGTCACCACAGCGACCACGTGCATCGGGGAAGACGTTGTACAGGCAGTGATCAGGGAATTTAATCTCAAAACTTTTATACAGCGTAAGTTTCTCGTACCACAATCTCCAACACATCTTATTTAGCGCACAGCTCACGGAAGAGCATTCATTTTTCTTTCTTAAAAAATAACTATACACTAACAATTACGTTCCTTGAATATTTTCTAATCCAATGTAATGAAGCGTGTGAGTTGTAACTTTCTGTGATACTAATAATCCCAGATACCTATTTAATTATTTACTTATATATTTACTTGTTTGTCTGTCTATCTGTCTGTCTGTCTGTTTGTTTATTTGTTTGTTTGTTTGTTTGTTTGTTTGAAGAAGAAGATGTGAAGAAGAAGATGTGCCTGCAGCGAGCGGCATCGCCAACGCCCGGCTCTCTCGGCTCGTGCTTCGGTCCGTTGCTGTGCCGATCGCTGGACGCTTCTTCACGCTGTCTCGTCGCTTTCTTTAACGGCGAATAAACCTCATCACATTTGGTGGAAGGTGCTGTTAATCCCCGTTGCTACACCCTAGAGCTTCGAAGCTGCACGCTACCACCTGTCATGACTGCCAACGCCACTACATCGACACCTTCGCTCCAGTTCAACTGCCCTGGCCATCCTACGCTACGGGAGCCGAAGGTCTTCAGCGGTGCGGATGGGACCGACGTCGAAGACTGGCTCGAGCACTACGAACTGGTGAGCGCCAACAATAAGTGGGATGAAGCCGACAAGCTGGGCCACGTGATATTTTATCTCACTGGCGTCGCCGAATTGTGGTTTAATAACCACAAACACAACACCCCCACATGGAGCGTCTTCAAGACGTCGTGTGCTGAAGTGTTCGGTCGGCCGGCTGTCCGCAAGCAGAGAGCAGAACAGCGCTTGCGCGTCCGCTCTCAGCAGACTGGCGAGACCTTCGTCGTCGACCTTTGTCGACGTGTGAATGACACCATGCCCGAATCTGACAAGGTCAAAAACATCCTGAAGGGCATCGACGACGGCGCATTTCAAATGCTCTTGGCAAGGAATCCAAGCACAGTTTCTGAAGTCGTCAGCTTGTGTCAGAGCTACGATGAGTTGAAAAAGCAACGCACTCTGACTAGGCAGCCTCAGCCTGGTGTTGAGTCGCTGTCCAGTTTCGACTCCATGCCCGACAATTCACCATTGCTTCAGCAAGTCCGAGCCTTCGTCCGTGAGGAAGTCGCCCGCCAACTTTCCCTAGTACCCTTTACTCACGAGACCACCACCCGTCTACCTGCCCCGCTTCGCACTGCTATATCGGAAGAGGTTGCACAAGCTGTTCCTCTTGCGCACTACGAGTTACCTCTATCTAGCCGTGGTCACTGCCCGGGTGTCGCACAGCCGGTAGGCGCTCCTGTCACCTATCCGCCAGCCGTTCAGCCTGTGGCCACGCCCCTAACCTATGCAACGCAGCCTGTGGCTCCTCCTGTCGCCTTTTCGCAAGAGATGCAGCCCGTAGCCGCGCCGCTCACATATGCAGATGCTGTACGTAAACTCCCGCAAGCACCCTACACCACGCGCTCACAGCCCGCACACCCGGCTGCTTATACTGCACCTTCGGCGGCAGCACCAGTCGCCAATCCCTGGAGGACGCCCAATAACCGACCAATTTGCTACGCTTGCTTCACTCCCGGACACGTTGCTCGCTACTGCCGCCGTCGACCTCAGACTTTCGGCAACTATGCCCGGTCGTCGCATCCCGGCAGCCAACCCTTCGTCCAATACGGGCCGGTCTCGCCACCTCGCTATGCGCCTACTGACCACCTTGACTTCCAGCCGCAACGCGCACCCTCTCCTCGTCGGCGATCGCCCTCCCCCATGCGTCGCCGGCCCGGACCCTCCGACCAGGAAAACTAAGCAACGTAGTTCAAGAGGCAAGAACTGCGCCGTTTTCGAACTGTCTAAGCCCTCGCTCCTCTCCTGCTAACGTGGTCGCAGTAACTGTTGAAGGTTATTGTACACCCGGCGCCAGTGTCCACAAGGCCCTTGTGGACACTGGCGCCGCTGTTTCTGTTATTGCCGCTAATCTCTGCCGTTTATTACGCAAAGTAACGACGCCACTTTCGGGACTGTCGCTTCACACCGCAAGCGCACAGCAAGTAACGCCTCTCGCAGCCTGCACTGCAAGAGTCTCCATCGAAGGCATTCTTTACATCGTGGAGTTTATTGTTCTTCCTGTCTGTTCGCATGACGTCATCCTCGGGTGGGACTTCCTATCCCGCCATAATGCCGTCATAGACTGCCCACGCGCCGAAGTTGAGTTTTCACCCTTGTGTGATGTCCCATTACTGGACGCTCCTCATCAGCCGCCGAAGTTGCTCGTTCGTAAAGATACCGATATTCCGCCTGGAAATTTCGCCCTTGTTCCGGTTTCATGCAACGCCTACACTGACGCTACAGTTCCTTATATGCCTTCCGATATCTTCAAATGTCGTCGAGCTTTGCCGCTGCCTTTCGCAACAATTGACCTTGCCGCCGGAAGAAGCAACATGTTCGTAAGCAATCCGCTTTCCACACCTGTCACATTGCTTGCGGGGGAATGTCTCGGCCGCGTGCAGGATCTCAACCCTTCGTTTTTGTTTGATGTTCCGGACGACTACTGCGACCACCCAAAAGCACTGTCGGCACTCGGGGAGTCGTCCAATGATACGTTTTCCAGCGCCATCGCCGACACTTTCACTCCCACCGAACATGCCGACCTGCTGGATCTTCTGCATGAGTTCAGGAGTTCGTTCGATGTGTCGCAACCTCAACTGGGCCGCACATCACAAGTCAAACATCATGTTGACACCGGACTACACCAGCCACTGCGTCAAAGACCATACCGTGTCTCCGCTGAAGAGCGCCGCGTCATCAACGATCAAGTTGAAGATATGCTTCGTAGAGACGTCATTCGACCATCTCACAGTCCCTGGGCGTCTCCCGTCATCCTGGTACGTAAGAAAGACGGATCTATCCGATTTTGCGTGGACTATCGTCGTTTGAATAAGATAACCCGCAAGGACGTCTATCCTTTGCCGCGCATCGATGACGCCATTGACACCCTTCACGGAGCGGAATTTTTCTCGTCGCTAGATTTGCGGTCTGGCTACTGGCAGGTCCCAATGGCAGAAGCCGATCGCCTAAAAACGGCATTTATTACACCAGACGGACTATATGAATTTAACGTCATGCCCTTTGGGCTTTGTAACGCGCCTGCCACGTTTGAACGTCTTATGGATAATACGCTACGTGGCCTCAAATAGAATATGTGCCTCTGCTACCTCGACGATGTCGTGGTTTTCTCCCATGACTTTCCTACGCACCTCCTTCGCCTCAGGCACGTTTTGAGTTGTCTGACCAACGCTGGTCTGCAGCTTAACCTGAAAAAATGCCGCTTCGCTGCACGCGAGCTCGTCATTTTAGGCCACATCGTGTCCAAGCACGGCGTATTACCAGACCCAGCAAAACTTCGAGCAGTCGCAGAATTTCCCAAGCCGACGACCATGAAAGAACTTCGCAGTTTTGTAGGCCTATGCTCCTATTTCCGGCGCTTTGTTCGCAATTTTGCATCTATCATGTCACCGTTAACCCAGCTTCTTCGCGGTGACGTGAACCTCACCTCCTGGTCCACAGCGTGTGACGTTGCCTTCACTACTCTGCGCCGTCTGCTCACTTCCCCACCTATTCTTCGCCACTTCGACCCGACGGCTCCTACCGAAGTGCACACCGACGCCTGTGGCGTCGGGCTAGGCGCGGTCCTCGCTCAACGAAAGCCCGGCTATTCAGAATACGTTGTAGCCTACGCTAGCCGCACTCTGACGAAAGCCGAAACTAATTACAGCGTAACAGAAAAAGAGTGTTTGGCTCTGGTGTGGGCGCTTGGAAAGTTCCGGCCGTACTTATACGGCCGCCCGTTCGATCTAGTAACTGATCACCACGCGCTTTGCTGGCTCTCCACGTTGAAAGACCCTTCTGGCCGCCTTGCGCGATGGGCACTCCGCATCCAGGAGTACGACATTCGCGTCGTATACCGCTGCGGACGCAAACACTCTGACGCTGATGCCCTGTCCCGCTCACCTTTACCACCAGATCAGACGTGCGGAAACACTTGCCTCCAGACCTTGTCATCGCTAAATCTTGACTCGATCGCCACCGAACAACGTCGTGACCCGTGGATCGCCTCTCTTATCGAATATTTATCTGGCACGCCCCACCTTCCAGTATCTCGATCCCTCCGACGTCAAGCTTTCCATTTCTCTATCCGCGATCAACTTCTTTGTCGACGCAACTACGCTCCCGATGGCCACCGGTGGTTGCTGGTCATTCCACTCACTTTACGATCGCAAGTATGCGCCTCCCTTCACGACGATCCGCAATGTGGCCACGCCGGAGTGTTCAAAACATATGAACGCCTTCGCCATCGCTATTACTGGCGCGGCATGTACAATTTTGTACGTAAATTCGTGCAGTGCTGTCCTGACTGCCAGCGACGTAAATCAACACTGCCACGTGCGACTGGCGCATTGCAGCCACTTCCATGCCCTGCCAAGCCATTTGATCGCGTCGGCGTTGACTTCTACGGTCCCCTTCCATTGACACCAGATGGTAATCGGTGGATTATAGTGGCGGTTGACCACCTGACACACTACGCCGAAACAGCCGCTTTGCCGAGCGCTACAGCTCAGGATGTCGCCTCTTTCATTTTGCAACGCTTTATCCTTCGACATGGTGCACCTCGAGAGCTCCTTAGTGACAGAGGCCGCGCTTTCCTTTCTGAGGTCGTCGAAACTCTGCTTTCGGAATGCCACGTCATTCATCGGAAAACGACAGCATACCACCCGCAGACTAACGGACTAACGGAACGGTTCAACCGCACGCTAGGTGATATGCTTTCAATGTACGTGGCATCTGATCATAGCAACTGGGACCGTGTTCTCCCATATGTCACGTTCGCATATAACACCGCAATACAAACCACCACGGGATTCTCACCTTTCTTCCTTCTTTACGGACGTGAGCCTTCCCATACAATTGATACCCTACTTCCTTACCGTCCTGATGCTTCCGAGTGTCCACCTATCTCCGATGCTGCTAGACAAGCCGAAGAGTGCCGCCAGCTTGCCCGTGCGTTCACCTCGGAAGAGCAACAACGCCAGAAAGAAACCCGTAGCACCTCTCTTCCGGATCCCAGCTATGCCCCAGGGTCTCTTGTGTGGCTTGCCATCCCATACCAAACACCGGGACTCTCCTCGAAACTTGTGCCCCGGTACGAGGGGCCTTACATCGTTTTGGAGAAAACCTCTCCGGTTAATTTCCTAATTGAACCAGTTTCCCGATCGGACGACATGCGCCGGCGTGCACGTGACATCGTCCATGTTTCCCGACTGAAACCGTACCATGAGCCTTTGCCTGAAACGTTTGCCTTTGCCTGAAAGTCGCCAGGATGGCTCCTTTTTCAGCGGGGGCGATTGTGAAGAAGAAGATGTGCATGCAGCGAGCAGCATCGCCAACGCCCGGCTCTCTCGGCTCGTGCTTCGGTCCGTTGCTGTGCCGATCGCTGGACGCTTCTTCACGCTGTCTCGTCGCTGTCTTTAACGGCGAATAAACCTCCTCACAGTTTGTTTGTTTCAGAAATACTGTCTATCACGATTGATTTCATTGATTGATATGGCGGCTTTGACGTCCCAAAACTACCATATATCGGTAATTGCCGATAATTGTGATGACAAACCAACATAGCAGCTCTCGCGCAGACGCCATCCCCCGCGTCGATCCTGATTCGAGCTCGCTACTTGCCCGCTGATTGAGGATTGATATGGGGATTTTAACGTCCCAAAACCACCATATGATTATGGGAGATGCCGTAGTGGAGAGCTCCGGAAATTTCGACTACCTGAGATTCTTTAACGTGCACCGAAATTCGAGCACATGGGCCTACAGCCTTTCAGCCCCCACCGAAAATGCAGCAGCCGAAGCTGGAACTAGATCCCACAACTTGAGCGTCAACAGCCCAGTGCCTTTGTCACTAAAACACCGCGGTGGGGCAATACTGCCTATCACAACGGGGGTTTTAGCAGGAACGGTGTTCATACAACAAAGATATACGAAAATGCAATTTCGTGGTACAATTTACAAATAAGAATTTATAATAATTACAAGAAATTGGCACGTACAATCATTTGACGCACATGACGTCAATGAATAATGCCTAATTGAAGACTTATAAAGAACGTGTCACGACAGAAAAATAATGACAGTGAAAGAAGTGGATACTTACAACAGATACGTAATGAGTGATTAGGTCATTACAGGTTGTTAGTAAAGCCACTACACAAGGTGAAACTGTAAGGTTAGCACTATACTAACAGTTCATGTTTAGAAAACGCATGTTTGCAAAAAGCAGCAGGAAGTTATCTTCATTGCTACGAGTACTTATGTAAGTAAGCAGAGTAACCTAATAGTGGTGTCTCATGAGTGGTGCTGTTTCTCGCACAAACTGTTAGACTGATGTCATGGTGTCATGACTAATTCGCGAAAGTGCCACTCTTTGTGAATCATGGTAAAAATATTACATCAGTTTGTTTCCGCTGTATTTTTCTATTTTTCATGTGGCAGTGTATGGTCAGTCTGAAATACCTCTAATCTCAGCTGGCCTTTACAATGCGCCGACCAACGGCAAGTCCATCGGCTGTTTGGCTTTCGGCGTCGAAGCAATGGTAAGAATGCCGATATCCCGAATAAACATGCGACAAAGCTGTTCAGTAAGCCTATCAATGAATACATCATGTTCACTGGGCGTGCTTGGCCTTGCCGCGTCAGCTTAACAAGCATACTTGAACTCAATATTACTTTTTGTTGTGCTAGTGATTGCATGCTTACTGAAATAAAAAAAATACACGTACCATCGAGGAAGAAACATCACGTGGTATCATCAATGACACCCTTTCTGTCCTGTCCTTAATTTATTTAGGTAAGCATAATTGAAATTTCGTAGGTAAAGCTGCATGCAACTAGTATTCGTAAATGTTACAGCGAAACTTTCGCACAGACACCCAGTATGAGGGCAGCAGTTAGCAAAACTACTCTAAAGACCGTATTCAAGAAGCGTTATAAAAAAAATCCCGAACTGCGTTTTCTCAAGCTTATCGCAATATTTCGCTAAATTAGAGCCACATAAAAAGCAGTATTACTTGTTTCTTCAAGGAAGTAAGCACACACGGAATGTCCTAATGTGTGCAATCTTGACGTTGAAACCAGCGGTGTAGTGACAGGGTGGCAGTGGAGGTGGTGACGTTTGTTGCTGTATGCTGTATGAGGTATGGGCACCATAATGGCAGACTTGCTGTCAAATGTAGCCCAACTTGTGAGTAGGACTTCTAACTTATCTGTTCGTCACATTCTTTTTTTCTGTAGGTACCTCCATGCAGCTTATGTGTTTGAAGGCGCGGGATGTGTTCAATACGGATCCACTCCTAAAATAAAACACTTGCGTGCAAGGCGTCTGCAGATTTCGGTCTCTTGTAAAAAAAAAAAACATGGTTGCTTCCATTTGCAGAAAACTGCTAATGGTTAAGAGTTTAGGCTATTTTTAACAAACTAGCGCCACGCAAGGACAAAGTTTCCGCATGTATTCGCACTAATTGGAGCATTAGCAATGCCAAATACGCCCATTCGTGTGTTCCCTTTGACAGTGGACCCGACTGTACATCGTATAGTATTCTAAGAAGCTGAGACGTGTGACACTCGGAATAGCATCTTGCTAAAATACTTTCTATTCCTGTTTTCAGTTTCACTTTCGGTTTTAATCGTTCAAAATACAAAGTTCGCAGTTAAAAGTATGCAGACAAGGGTCCCAAAGTCGGGCGACTTAATTTCTCATCTAATTTTCGCGTGGGGTAAAGATAGAAAACATGACCGTCCGACCAGCATTTTTACCTGTGTTTAATTAATGAATTTCTTACGCGAGTATTTCGTACTATTTGGTAAAGAAGACTACTAGTCCTGCGGCCAATTTCCCGCAGGTGCGCGACACAGAAACAAGACAGCCGGTGGGACCTTGGCAACGCGAAGAGCTCGTGCTACGAAGTCCAAGCCTGATGCGTGGATACTGGGGGAGACTTCATGAGCCCATCACTGACGAAGATGGCTGGTACAGGACAGGTAGGGTTGCGATGGTCTCTTAGTGCATCACGAACAACAAACCCAGCTCTCCTCACTTTTGGTATTTTAGTACATCTTTGCAGGAATCATTACCGCAAAAGTGTTTTAAAGATGCGAGACCATGGTGCAAGAATGCGTAACGTTTGCGAAACAAATAGTGATTATCACGTTATGTAGTGCATAAAAATACAAATGTACTCTTATCAACTTGAACACATATTTGGGGTTGCGCTCTTAGGTTCGGCAGAAGCTAGCCGTTCGTTCACACATGGGCAGCCACCTGGATTTGCACAGTAGGCGATGCGGAAGTACGCCGCACCTAAAATATATATTAATGCTGTTCAAGTCTCTAACGACAAAATGAAAAGGAAAATTATGGAAGCCTTATTTATCGCTAGAAGTGACAAATGTGCAAGCATGCCTTCGTTGATTTTGCTTCCTAAGGAGCTGCAATTTTTAGATGGTTTTAGGTAATCGAAACTAGTAGTTTGTTGAGCAGTGCACTGTTGTTCCAGTTTCCCGTCTGTGCGCGTGTCTTTGCCGATATTTGTTAGATTTTTCTCATCATTCACTGTTTGTTTATCGTTTTCACCGTAGACTTTTATACATACGGGTTTCCTTCTTTAGTTTTGTTGTGATGTATAACCTCGTTTCAGGCTGATGACTATTCATACTGAGCCACTTTGGCCTTCAGTTTTACAGTTGAAGTTTCGCGCCCCTCCTGTGTACTCTCCTTCGTCCATGTTTTTTTCGCGCAACCCAATCTAGCCCAAACAGAAGCTTTACTGGCTTATCAACTATTTCCTTGCATTTTTTTTTATTTTATTCACCCATCTTTTTGTTCGTTAACGATCGTAGATTGCAAAAAAGCACCTGCTGCGAGAACCTATTGTGTGTGTGTGTGTGTGTGTGTGTGTGTGTGTGTGTGTGTGTGTGTGTGTGTGTGTGTGTGTGTGTGTGTGTGTGTTTGTGTGTGTGTGCGTGTGCGTGTGTGTGCGTGTGTGTGTGTGTGCCTGTGCGTGTGCGTGCGTGTGCGTGTGTGTGTGTGTGTGTGTGTGTGTGTGTGTGTGTGTGTGTGTGTGTGTGTGTGTGTGTGTGTGTGTGTGTGTGTGTGTGTGTGTGTGTGTGGCCAGATAATTGGTGGAAATGATCTCCATTTGCTGGTATCCATCCTATATAAGCCAGAGCCGCCATTTTGTGCCTAAAGCAAACGTGCAATCCAAGCAAGGCCCGATGTATAAATCCACTTAATTAAACCTCTAATGCACAAATAACCGAAGTGGGGACGGCTATGACTTGCACAGTGAAATGAATAAAACGGAGATTTGTAATAAGCGAAAACACTAGAAGTTGCTTGTAACGTAATGTGCCGTTTGGGTGCCAGGTATAGTACATAAATTTGATAGACAAAGACATGAAGAAAGAATTCAGTGACGAACTTTACCGCTAGTTCCCTAGAAAATCCTTCAGTCCCTAATTGGTTCTAGCTCTGCATAACGCTTCATCTCTTGGCATGCGAACGATTGATTCGGACACGAGCCCCCACAGAACAACTCTTCACGGAACTATAGTTACAGAAACCGTTAAAGAGGTAATGCCGCTGAAGACGACATATCGACAAGTAGACCTGACTTTGTGAAGGCATCAGCATCACTTGAAGCGTTCATCTTTCCCTGAACATCCAGGTTGTACTAAGTTACAGCTTTCAATATATTTCTAAGTGCCCACGTTCTCTTTAAATATCTGGCCTTCCAACCCGAAATATTGGAAGTGTGACCAATTCACTGCAATGACATCGGGTAACAACGTTGAAGAATTTTGTAACTGAAGTTTAACGTTTGACGGAATCCCGTCTGGTCGGGATGATACATGGTTGGAGGTAGAAAATCTGGAGACACTGCGCTGACCAAAGTAAAAGTTTAAAAAGAAAAAAAAACGCAGAGAAAAGATGTTTAGGCTCCCACGCAGAAGGATTTACGGTGGGAGCCACAACGTCTCTCCTCTGTATTTTTTTTAACATTTACTTTGGTCGGCGCAGTTCCTCCAGGTTTTTTACCTTCAAACAATTTTCTAGCTGTTCATCCATAGCCACACTGCAAGTTGGCCGATATTATCTGGGGTTTTACGTCCCAGAGGCATGACACTGTGATGGACGCCGTAGTGTAAGGCCCCAGAAATTTAAACCACCTAGTGATTTTTTTTTATCACGCACTTTCATCGCACACGAGCTTCTTCCATGTCGCGCCCGTCTAAATGTGATCGCCGCGACCGGGATTTACGGCATTTACGGCCGCGCAACGGCGTTCGCGGCCACGCAGGTGACCAGTGCTACTACGACAATGATGGTTGGCTGTACCTGGTCGCGCGACTAAGCGACTTCTACTGCTGCCGCGGGAGCAAGTTCTGGCCTTCCGAAGTCGAGGCCGTGTTGTTCAAGTGTCCGGGGGTTCACGACTGCGCCGTCGTGGGGATACCGCATCCCGAAGCTGGAGAAGTGGCGCACGCCCTGGTTGTGCCCGAACCGCGAGCGAGAGCGTTGAGCGCCGAACACATCACGCAATTCGTAGAAGGTTAGCTCTTTTTTTTCTCTCTCTCTCTTGATCCTTTCACAAGCGTATACGCGCGTAGTGTCTTCATTCTTTAGAATTTTGAGTGGTTTTTGACAGCCTGTACCTTAACTTCTAAACACAAACAAACTGCTTCATCGTCTTCTGTATTGAAAGGCTTGTTGCACATACTAAGGCTGCGTCAGTAAAAAAATCATCAATCTACTTTTCCTGTGCAGAAATTGAACGGGCGTGTTTGTGTTGTATATATTGACGCCACCACTTCTGCACGTCGAATTTTTCACAAGAAATGCTATTGTCTTCATGGAGGCGCCTTGTGCTTTGTCATAGGCATGCGCAGGTGCCTCCTTCATTAGAGGGAGCGAAGTGTCATTACAACAACCCCACACAGCCTCACTATTGGCTGAATTCGTCAGACAGCAACCTTCAAAACGGAAGCAATAATTAAAGTGTAAAAGATGACGTACTCCTCACGGCAGCTGGCGTTTTGTTCCTGGTCTTCAGGGGGCTAAGGTGGGAAGCAGGCAGTTCTCAGAAATCAGCATAAGTCATCCTCACCTACCATTAAAGTCAGAAACCTGTGTGGCAAAAAAAATTGCCCGCAGCTTCCCTCGGGGGAACACTGAGGAGGATGCGGAGCATATAATTGGTTAACGGGGTGTTAAAGTGCGACTTACTTGGGTCGATGGCTAAATTGGTTAACGTGGTTGTGAAATGGGGTGTTAAATTGCGACTTACTTGGGTCGATGGCTAAATTGGTTAACGTGGTTGTAGGAGGGGGTGTTAAATGAGTGAACACGTACACACGTATGCGAAATGGCGGCGCTGGTCGAAGGGACGTCGATCATTGTGTTTGTGGATTCGTTGGAATTCATTTCACCGCGACCTTGGACGTTGACGCGCCGTACAAACCAACCGACGAGTGGCAACTGAGCGAGCGAGCGCCGACCTTGAGTATATATACAGCGCGACGGCGCATGCACTGTCAGCTGTCGAATGTTCGAGAAGGGGGAGAAGCGCAACGGCGCATACGCGCGCGTCAGCTGCCGATGTTCTCGAAGCGCGACGGCGCATGCGCGCGCGTCAGCTGCCGATGTTCTCGAAGCGTGACGGCGCATGCGCGCTACATTATACAGCTAGCGAATGTTCGTGAAGAGGAGAAGCGCACGCGGTGTGTAGAGGAGGAAGGGTGCACAGATGGTGGAGGAGTGAAGCGCGCGCGGTGTGTAGAGGAGGAAGGGATGCACAGATGGTGGAAGAAGGAGGAGGAAGCTTGCGGACGACGCCGCACTACAAGCCTCGAGTATTAGATGCTCCGCATCTAAAACCCTGCACATTGAACACTAACAGGACGCGTCCAATTAAACAGACATATGGTGCTAACTTCGCACCGCCTTCAGACGATCAGTATGATAAGGGGAGGAAGGAAAAGAGGAGGAAAAGAACAGCAGGGAGGTTAACCAGCCTATAGGGAGCCGGTTTGCTACCCTGCGCATAGGAGGGGGATGGGGGAGATGAAAGATAGAGAGCAGAGATGGAAGAGAGATAAATACAACACATTCGACACCACACGCGCGCACACTCAGTGGGCACACAAAAAATGAAGGCACTCTTTTGGTGATTGCCTGAGCCTACTATTGCGTGCGCATAGGCTTTATTGCCAGTTATTGGCATTTTTTATTCTTTTTATTATTATTTGTCTTACATCGTCCGTATTTATTCTTGTCACCGCTGTATTTCTTCTTACCATTTTTATCTGTGGTTGGGTGGTGGTAAAAAAATTTATTAGAAAATATGTAGGTACTCAGGGACTGCATCACAATAAGACGTGTGTCGTATTGGGTATAGTTTTTTCTTGTATTTCCTGCACTATTAAGCTGTTTATTATTTTCTTTTGTATAATTTCCTCCTGCAACAATCTGGTGGTATAAAATAAATTAAGATAATAAATAACGCTAAATCTTGTTTCTCTTTGTTCGGAATGATCGAACATAATAACTAATGTTCAATCTTGTTTATTTGTGCCTGCAGCCAACGCACCGAAGGGCTGCCACCTTGAAGGCGGCGTAACATTTGTTGACAAGATTCCACGCAACAATCTCGGAAAACTCGTCAGGCGTCAGCTTGTGCAGTGGATTCTCGCGAACCGAGAACTGTGAGGCATCGCAAGTCGTCAAACTGCGGCCAAGCATCTCGCGTGCAGCACGTGATCATTTCCCGAACCTGCATCGTGCACCTGTGTAAGCCGGCCATCGATATACAGTGCCGTGACCAGTGATGACCGCTGGATGCATAATAGCATATTCTGCAATGCTTCAATTCGTACAAAACACAGGCCTTACAACACACTATAATTACGTATATACACAAAGGATGTTATGGATAACGACTAGCTTCATCACACACACAGACACACACACACACACAAACACACACACAAACACACACACACACACAAACACACACACACACACACACACACACCAAGGAAAACTTCGATAAACGCACTTCATGTCGTACATTTATAGCAGTGCTGTACATGTGTAATATATCAAATAAAATGTACTATAATAGAATGTACCGCATTTCTTGCGATTTATTGGTAACAACTCCTTGTGAATTGAAGCACCAACATTGTCACGAGTGGTTCAAGGGCATGCGAACACTATGAGAAAGAGAGAGGTTTATTTACAGAAATGAAGAGAGGTCGGCCTGAGCAATAGCTTGCTCTAGCCTGCTACTCTACACTGGGGGAGAGAAATGGGGAGAAGATAGACTAATGGATGACGCTGGTGAGATAGAGAGGTGAGTATATAAAAATCTTTCTAGCTGAGAAAATTTTTAAAGCCGCGCATATAGTCCAGTTGCTTCCAAAAAAGTTATAACCACTCTTATGACCACAGTTGCACTGTTGGTGTCTGACCAAGGGCTCAACACGGTCTCGTCATGACCACCATGACTTCAAAGTCAGAAAGGAAGCACTGCTTTTTTTTTTGTCCAGATGTCAAAGTGCGTTCACTATGCAACGCTTTTGTACAGGCCGCTAGGAGTTCGGTTTGTAAGTTGAATATGTATGAGTACTGCAATGTTTTGTTCTTGTTGTTGTTGTTGTTTTCATGTGAGCTTTAGCTCCCTCTTTAGCTAACATTAGTTTTCGTTTCACTGAACGGGTGGTTTGCATGCCATTGCCAAAGTACTAACATTTTCATTCCATCAGCAGCAGTCTACGAGAGAAAAAAAACCCTAAAAATTATGCCACTGTTTCTTCGATTCCACTGATCGATAGTGCACTATATTTAGTTCTAGGACACTCACTGGTTATAGTGTATTCGGCGCTCTATACGATAACGTTTATCGAGTGCGTTTTAGTAATAGCCTTTTCCCACCGAGGCTATCACTAAAACACTTGTGCTCTTACATTCGTCTGAACGTTAACGAATTCACAGTTATTAAAATTCATCCAGAGCCCTTTACTATGTTGTGGCTGACAATCGTCGTAGTTTTGGTTCATAAAACCTCAGAATTTAAGTTACACGAACGCCCCGCCGTGGTGCTCTAGTGACTAAGGTACTCGGTTGCTGACTCGTAGGTTGCGGGATCAAATCCCGGCTGCGGCGGCTGCATTTCTGATGCGGGCATAAATGTTGTTTTTCCGTGTGCTCACATTTGGGTGCACGTTAAAGAACTGTTGAGAAACGGCGGACCGATCCCGCCGAAGCCACCACTGTTGCGAAAGACGGCGACGCCGACGCGGTCCCGGAGGCGCCACTGCTTTCGACCCCGCCGGGAAGGTCACCAGCCGTTTGGTAGCGTATGTTTCTCAGCTCGCGACTGCTTCTGCGCAGAGCTGAGGAGACGAGCGGACGAGACGACGGTGAGTTAAACAAGGTTTATGTACAGCATATATACAGAGGCGTTACAATTTCGGCACTGGGGCCGGCAGAGACTCGAAGAGCCGAGCTCCTCTCTCTAACACATAGGTCAGCCTTTCGCCTAAAACCGCTGACTCACACACATGTCGGCACTCCGACACGGGGACTCCTCTCCTAGGATCTCCGATCGCGACGCGGCGCAGGGCTTCTTTTATTTACACCGGGCCCAACTAAAATGTCCAATCAGAAGCGCCGCTGGTCTTCCGAGCAGGCTCCTCCAATGGGGTTCGCCGCGCGATGCGTCAGGCCACCAGACATGAGGACGCCGGCTCGCTGTCACGTGCGACGCTGACTCAATGCACGTGGGCCACAGATGCGCCGCGCGTGTTCACGCCGTGGAGTTGTTCGCGCCCGGCGGGCTGCGGGCTGGCCTTGACCCAGATTGCCTGTTTCAGAGGCACGGACGTTTGACGAGGACTCGCTGGCATAACAGCACCCCCGCCGCCAGACAATGCACCGGAAAGACGAGCTGCTTCCACGGGGCTCGGATGTCAGGTGCGCTCGTTCGCCAGGTCCCTCCAGGTTCGCCTCCAGGGCCATGGGGAGAATACAGCTCCAGACTGTTCCGGGAACACATCCCATCATTGACGACGGATCCCCGCTCCACTGGCTTGTCGCCACAACTTGCTGGCCAACTTCGCTCGTCTCTTCTGACCATTTTCGGTTTCAGCACTCGTCGATGGTTCTGCAACTTGCTAAGAACGGTTCGACAACAGACAACACACGACACAAGCAAGTGCCCTCGGTCACCCGACAGAACACCAGACAAAGTATAGTACAACATATACCTATCTACGTGTTTATCGGAATTTTGTTCCCTCTACATCAAGAGGCACATGTGGGACAAAAGACCCCTAAAATGACAACTCAATTTTTTTTCCCACGTACAACAACGTAACGGATTAGAATACCACATAAAGTTGGCCCCTTGAGATCACTCTGAACGAGAGCGCTCAGCCCAGGTCGTGATGAGGTCAAAATTTTGCCCCGAATCGCCAGCCAGAAACCGAAAGGTTAAGAAGTTACTAGCTGGAACGCACTGCTCAATGCACCTGCATTAGCGTATAGCTTTCTTTTTTTTTTTTAGCGAACGTCAAAGTTGCCCTGCCGGAGTACCACGCTCCATCTCAGTAACCGGTCACTTTTAGGCGACGATACCTATGCGGTACCAAGAGCGGCTCACACTTGCGACGTTCCACAGGAGAACAACGATACGGCTTGCTATGGATTGGCTCCTCACCGCTTAGCTCGATATCGTGTTCGATCACCCTCGTGTTTCCGGGGCGGTCCGAAAACACGTCTTCAAACTCGGAACCAATCTTTCTCAGGTCCTCTTTCTCAGGTCCTCCTTCACTTAAGCTAGGCTCTAGGTTTATCTGCTCCCGGATTACTTTCGATCCCCCTTCGATCACCTCACTAGAACTCAAATTTTCTGCTTCCTCTTCCTCTGAAGCCTTCAACAGCTGATTTACGACCGCTTGATGTTGAACATTGGGTTTTATCAAGTTGTAAATTTTGTTCTGCCGCCTTCCTACTTGCACCTCATAAGTTGTATCGCAAGGCTTCGATAATACTTTGGCGGGCCCTTCCCAATCAACCTCAAGCTTGTTCCTTTTTGGTGGCTGCAGCCGCATTACCTGATTATCAACTTCAAAAGCGCGCTTCTTCCCCGATTTCTCGTAGTGCTCCTTCGACAGCACTTTTGCCGCGTTTTTCTGGCTTTCCACTCGCGCTTCAATTTGGCTTTCCACTAGCGCTTCAATCGAGAGATCCTCACGCTGCCCTCGAATGAGCGTCTCTCGATCAACTCTCGGCAGCTCGCTCCAACTTTCCGCTACAGGCGAGAGCGTCGCAACCCTCTCGCTCTGACTCAAAGGCGCCACGTCGTCTCCCCCAGCGCATACCGCGCCGGCCGCTCCCGCGACGGGCCGCTCGCGTGACTGCTCACATGACTCATGCGGAAAATTTCCTTTCTGGGGTTCCGTCGACCCGCCGACAAGGTCACTTGAGAGTTCACCGCATGGAACCAAGTCAAGCTTCCGCGAAAGCTTTCGCGCTTGCGATCGCGTGGGAGCCATGCACGCTAAGTTGGGGAAGAACGATTTGCCCTGCTCTTTGAGAAGCTGCTCCGAGTTGTTGGAGAAAAGATAAGAAAAACGACCATTCAGCGCGGCAGACACAGCCGCTTCGGTGCAAAGCTTACCGAACGGGCCTTCAATGACAACGGTGGCGATTGGTAAGCGAACACTCTGCTCCTCGGCGACTTGCCTGATCCACGCGCATTCTCCTGTGAAGTCATCCGGAGACACCAATGAAGGATGGACAACGTCTATGGTTGCCGCTGAGTCTCTAAGTGCTCGGCACGTTTTCTCATTGACCCTAATTTCTTGGAGATACGGCTCCAACAACCGCATGTTTTTTTCTGATTCTCGGATCGTTGCGAAGGCAAACTTTTCCTGACAGTTTCTCGCGATGTGCCCTTCCTTTTTACAGTTGTAGCAGATTAGCGGCTTCCGTTTGTTTTCCGGTTCTAATGCCTGTGTGGTAGAAACCTCACTCGATTTCTCCGCTTCTGTTTGCCCTTCCCCTACACTGTCCTTCGTAAGAGACGGGTCCTTCTTGAAATTACGGTGCGGAGCGGGTTTCCGTTGATCAGGTTTCTTTGAAAAGCCCTCTTTTCTCTCATCCTTTTCAACGCGCACTGCCCTGCTATGCAACTTTCGGCGAGTATAATACTCCTCAGCTAACTCAGCTGCCTTGTTTAACTGTACGTCCCCAAGTCTGTCCTGCAGCCAAAGTTTGACATCCTCCTCGATGCAGCGGTAGAATTGCTCCAATGCAACGCATTCCACCACTTTATCGCGGTCGTCATAAACACCTTCGCCCTTGAGCCATTCGATCAAATCGGCTTTAAGACGAAACGCGAAGTCAACGTGTGACTCATTCCCCTTTTTAGCATACCGGAACCTTTGCCTGAAAGCCTCGGGTGACAATTTATAACGTCTTAAGAGCACTTCCTTAACCTCGTCATAGCTCTCAAACGCTTCCCTCGACAAGCAAGTTATCGCGTCGGACACTTCGCCGGGAAGAAGAGCTAACAGGTTCCGCGCCCAAAGACACCGCTCCAAAGCGTTTCGCTCACAGACGTGTTCAAACTTGACGAGATACTTCGCCATGTCCTCGCCTACAACGAACGGTGGCAGTTGGTCCCGAATTCTAAAACCGCTGACCTGAATCGTCGGAGAAACTACGCTAGGCGCCTGCGAACACTGTAGGATTGCCAATTCTAGTCGTTTCATCTCGAGGCGCTCTTGTCTCTCGGCCTCCTCGCGCTCGCGACGTTCGCGCCTTTCAACTTCTTCACGTTCGCGAGCTTCGCGCCTTTCAGCTTCTTCACGTTCGCGAGCTTCGCGCCTTTCTTCACGTTCGCGAGCTTCGCGCCTTTCTTCACGTTCGCGAGCTTCTACTTCTCGCCTTTCAGCCTCCTCACGGCGTGCTTTGATATCCACCCAGGCCTCATCGACTTCCTCAGCCGACACTCCCTCATCCTTCATGATCTCAAGGATCGCTTGCTTTCGTTTCGCACGGCCCAAAGTAATGCCGAGTTCCTCACAAATTTCGATGAGTTCCTTCACTTTAAGGTT